TGCCCCTGTCGCTGGCTGTCCACCTATATGGCTCATCCCTTTCAAGCAAATACCTCCTCAGCAGCTGTAGAAACGAGCTTTAAATGTCCTCTCATTAAGGCACATATGCATATTCACTTGTTAGTTTAATTAGAACAGATGAACAGCTCAGATTACAAGATTTTACAATAGAGACTAACACTGGGGTGTCTGAAAAAAATCCTCGTCAAGGACGACCTCCTCTGCTGTCATCTTCACCTCTGTTCACTCTCCATCAGTTTTCCTCCATCAGTCGGCTGCTGTATGACTTTTATTTATATGGAATATATATATATGTATATTTATATATATATATATATGTTGCGTGTGTACCTAAATAATGAAAATTCTTTCATTTTTATTGCTTATTCTAGGACATTTTCTACCATTTTAGGGAAAAACAGTAGCCCTATAAGCACAAAGACTAAACATAGTATGATAAAAAATTGGCTGTATCTCAGAAACTACAAAGAGCTTCATTAAGTATTTGGTGTTGATGGACTCACAACATGTTGAAAATCAAAGATATGGACACATATGCAGTGTAAAAAATATATATATATATATGAACATTTAATATACATAATGTCGGTGTTTTTCTTCATTTTTCAAAAATTCCTGACTTTTCACATAGATAAAATTATTATTCATGTGATCTAAAAATGTCAGAACAAATGTTACAGCATTTTCCTCATTGTACTAAATATACCAGAGTCTCAAATGGGTTAATGGCACAGCCTTTACTGCCATTAATCAGAACAACAAATAAACTGAATAAATAGATAAAAATAGCCAAATAAAAAAACATTACCATAACGGGAGTGAAATATATCCTCAACAAACATTAAGCATCCACATATCTGCTGTAATCTGAGCAAGAATCACATAAAACACGGCAGATTTCTCAAAAAGTTGCTGCTGTTTGAATCCGTTTCACAACCTTCGGCTATCAAAATTACTTTGATGTGTTACACTACATGCTGAGGTAATAATAAGTGATCCAGGAGATCAGATTTAATGAATACACACTACTAAATGTCCTTGACCTAGATTTGCCAGTGATGAGCCTCCTGTGGCTAAAGTCACATACCCTCATCTCCATCTGTTGCTCCAGTTCCTGTATTTCGTATGTGGCAACTTCAAAAGTTGGTTTTAATCTAGTATTGGTGTTGTAAGAAGTTGACATTTAATCAAGTTTTGTTTTGTTTTTGTTTGAGGCCTGAGGCTACTAGAAGAATATAAAGCAAACATTAAACCCTCTTCCAAGCAGGAGCTGATCTAGTGAAATATTCATGGGGTGGCAAGAGGTTGGCATGGAGATTTAAAGTGGTGGCAGAAATATATGCTGATTTAATTGCAAACAACCACATCAATATATGCTTGGGAAAGAAAAATGCAGGTATTTAACAAAAAAACATATCATTACTGTAACACAGCAGTAAAGCATCGACTAGGAATATCTAAAAAGGTGACTTTTAGAATGTTTTTCATTTCTTATTGAACTTATTTGAACTTATTCACTGATAAAATGTGGCCATAACAGATAATTACATTTTAACATGGTATTTTTGAAACAAATCTAAAATAATGTATTACATTTCACAGCATTGCTACCCCCGCGACCCTATCCCGGATAAGCGGATGCAGATGAGATGAGATGGCACCACACTGGGGTGGTAAAGAACTTTTTAGGGGTGACAAATGCCACCTAGATCTGCCTAGATCTGCCCCTGCTTCCAAGAAGTAAATCTAATTCTTATATAAAAGTATATACACTTACTACGGTGTATGACTTAGAAAATTGACTATCAAGGAGGAAAGTTATGTTTAATATTGCAGAATTGCAGTAATGAATTGTTGCATACAATCCAAAATATAAATATATTCCAGGAGTGTCGTTCCCAGTAATAGAACTCCTGCTCCATTGATTTTCTGGATTTAGGGGAAAAGGGGAATAACTAGGGGAAATGCACAGATATAGTGTAGAGAAGCACTTTTGTATTATCATCATGTAAACTGTGTGGACCTCAGAAAGAATCCAGAACCTAATGAAGATCTTAATAAACAAATAAACAAATACAGTAAGCACCAAGTCAATAGTCAGTCAACTAGTTGATCAATCAGCCAGTCTGTCAATCAGCAAATCAGTCAGGCAGCCATTTAATTAGTCATTCAGTCAGCCTGTCAATCAATCAGTCAAGCAGTGAACAATCAAAACCTAAATCAATAACAGAGGCCACATGTTCTGATCTAATCTGACGCTGATTATGTTCTTCATTATATAAACCTGAGCCTAATTCCATTTACTCTTCATTTACCTTTGACCATAAAATATTTGTTCACTTGATGATGTTTTGCTAACCAAAAAAGTCAGGTTGAAGGGAAATGAGGGTGGATGTCACACTGTGATTTCTTTGATTCTGACTTCAAACTAATGATTTTCTTTGAATGTCAACAAATCTCATGTCTGTCTGTCTGTCTCTCTCTCTCTCTCTCTCTCTCTCTCTCTCTCTCTCTCTCTCTCTCTCTCTCTCTCTCTCTCTCTCTAAGGTCCAGTGTGTAACATGTATTGGCAGAAAACTGAATATAATATTTGTAGGTATGTATTTGTTAGTGTATAATACAATCCGGTCTTACTCCCAAGTCCTTAAATACTGCAGCTTGGTCAGTGGTTTTAAAATATGTCACTGTAAGTATCCCTCTAGTATTATTTCTGGACGAACCCACTCACCTCAAAATCAGGGGATGTTGTATAAAGAGCAAGAAAGTCTGCATATGGAGGCGATGGGATGGATGGATGGATGGCTCAAACAAACACAGGATTTTAACCTAGGAGACACGTTTGTTACGTGAGTTACTTTTTATTCACGTACTTAGTTACATCAGGTGTTTAATGTAACTTACAACCTTTTTCTAATCTCAAAGTTACTTTATTTTGTAAGTGTAAACAGATGTTGCATATGTACTATTGCTAACATGACTGGATTTAGTTACAATAAATTGATTTTAGACAAAGTGATTTTAAAAAGTATTAAAGTTATAAAGAAAACAAGATAATCATAGCATAAAGTGATGATACTGTATAACCCTGATTTTACAGCTGTATGTATAATGCATAGATTAAAATGAAATAGTTTTAATGACAGGGATATCGGTCCCTTGAGAGACAAAAGGGCTGGAAATGTGTCCTATACTTAAGTTTTTATGAACACTGCTTCATTTTTTATGAAGCAAATTTCATTAAATTAGCTCATTTCGTTTAATTAATAATTCATCTCTCACTGGAGGTGCGAGAGTGCATCTGTTGGCAAGGTTACATTTGAAATCAAAGGAAAAGACACAAAGACATGAGAAAAGAAAAGAGAGCACGGGAGCAACATGTGTGTGGGTGTGTGTGTGTGTGTGTGTGTGTGTGTGTGTGTGTGTGTGTGTGTGTGTGTGCGCATGCGTTTCAGTTCATTACCTGAATAATAAGTATACGAGGCCCGTCTCACTTTATCTGCTCTCACCAGAAAAATTACATCATTGGTCCCTTTGTTTAAATGTTTCAAACACACACACTAATGCTTTCTTGATGAGTGACTACTTGTGGTTGTGTGACTAATGCAGCCCAGTATCCTAGTAACATTCAGTAAGGGTAAGGGTGTGGAGCACTGGTGGACTCCTGGGAGCATTTGCCCCCCGTGGTGCCCCTGTGTTTGAAAAAGACATGACAAAAGTGCCCTCTTGTATGACCCTATGGTAGATAAAAAATGATAAAGGGTCCTTTGGGCTGCCCTTTCAGTGGAGGAAACGTGATAAATTGCTCTCTAGGGTATCCTTCCCAGCCCGGTCTCACTCCCAACTCTTTACTGTGGCTTGGTCGGTGTCCCACCGCTTCAAAATATGATGTTGTGGCTGCCCCTTAGCATCATTTATGCAGAGTGTGCAGGGCTACAGCCTTAAGTGTCATTAATGGACAAGCCAGAAAGTCTGTATATAGGGGAAGTGGGGTGCCCTGACTGGTTTGTTACACAGAACCAAAGGACTTTCATAAACCATAGACCATCTGTCAATCACCATCTATAATGTGAACTTATAACATATAGCATAATCAAACTCTTACCAAAGAAGGATAAAAATCATCATATCTTGATTGAACAAGGGGCAAAATTTAGCAGAAAATAGTGTGATATGGTCCACCAAAGTATACTGTAGGTGATTGGTAGATGGTAGGGAAGGTTTAACTCTAATACTAATTCTACTTTATTGTTATTTAACTAATACCATTATCTTTCCTTAACATTTGTTTTCAATTTGTAAGGGTCATATGGATCAATTTGAAAGCCGCCAACCTAATTTGTGATTTAGGTGAGGACTTTGCTCTAACCTTAAATCTAATCTATATGCAATAGCTTCCCTTTTCTGTCGGGTTAAGCATGCAAAATAAGGGAGAACTCCCTTTGAAAGGAAATGTGTCTGTGTGTGAAGAAGGGAAGTAGACAGGAAAAAGACATCTGCAACAAGTGCTCTAAAAAGGAGCAGCAGGAGCATCTATCTACCTACCTATCTATAATGATTGGCTTACCAAGAGCAGTTAATAAGCTCAGGAGAAATCAGTCCTTGTCCCCCAGGCTTTACATACTGATCTCTTGTCAGGCATATTATGGATTCTCTCCTCCGCTCTCCACGTGAGGAATCGGTGATTTCTTTTAATTAAATGCTTGCACTGTAGTACAGCAGTCGTATCTACATCAATCAGTAAGGTTTTTCTGGTTCAAATAAGAGAAGTGGAGTCTGGAGCTGCACCTATCACACAGCTTTTGAACCACTTTCCCTTAATTTGCAGTGTGTTTTTCTGCACAGAAATATTGTTATGCAATGCTTTCGTGGATGGTGGTTTGAGGCTTTTGCACACATGCGTACTCAAACACACACACACACACCGCCTCATGCTGAAGGGTTTTGTCCCCCGGCGCGTTAAAAGGCGCAGTGGGTGATAAAAGCTCAGGCGCACTTAAAGCTGAACTGTGGCCGCGCAAGAAAAGGAGCGCACCTTTCCGGAGCGCACGGCGAAGGGGCGGATCTAAAATGACACCGGCATCTGATCTCTGAATCCTCACTCATTCGCTCTCTTGGACCGTACAGCCGAGCGTTTAAAACGTTTCTTTCTTTCTTTATTAAAAGCTTTCACATGGGCGCACGGTGCAACAGAGGGCTCCACCGCGCGCCTTCGCTTCTCCAGATGGGTTAACTGAGTGAACAGCACCGAGACGGTCCGTTATGGTCGGTGCAAACTTGGGGCCGGTACAAACTTCGCGCTCACCCCGGTATGATCGTTTGTAACGTGAGCCTGAGCTGTGCACACTGTCCCGGGGGAGGAGCTGGAGGCACGGCGGCGACGGCAACGGACGCGTACGAGCAGGTGCCCGGTTCCTTCCCTCCTGTGACCCTGAGCCCGAAGGGGCACCTGGTGGTGGCGGTGTGCCTCGGCTTCATCGGCACCTTCGGGTTCCTCAGTAACTTCCTGGTGCTTGCGCTGTTCTGCCGGTACCGGGCTCTGCGCACGCCCATGAACCTCCTGCTGGTGAGCATCTCAGCGAGCGACCTGCTGGTCAGCGTGCTGGGCACCCCGTTCAGCTTCGCGGCCAGCACCCAGGGGCGGTGGCTGATCGGACGCGCTGGGTGCGTTTGGTACGGGTTCGTTAACGCTTGTTTAGGTAAGCAGCTGTCTTTACTTCTTTGTCAGGTGTCACTGGAGATTTAATAACTCAAAGAACGCCTCAGAAGTTATTTAATAAATAATTTAATCTTTAAATCTAATCTTATTTTTCCTCTAAGAGAGATGAAATGTTGATTTAGCCTGCCAGACTGTAACATTGGATTTTCTTCTTAACATATCAACTCTGGATGCTGCCGAAAGAGTGAAAAGCTTGTCTCCAGAATGTCCTTTTTTTCAATGTAACCACTGTGCGCATCATGCACTTTTATCCAAAACCACATCAAACGATTTCACAAGCACCAAAAAGTCACAGCATTTCATCAGTTCCTCGCCTTTAAGTTGGAATTTAAACAGCAGCAGCAGCAGCACGGTCCCTTATAATATGTTTTACTTGCTCTGCTGTAACATATTTACCTCATTTTCTGCCTTTAGCTGCTTGCAGGAGGATGAAGAACATTATGCTTTCATTGCCAGAAACGGGCAACATAGAACCCACTCCAAACATTTGATTGAAATCCTGTTAACCTGATTCATTCTGCAGCTAATTTCAATTAAAATCCTATTAAGTGTCGAAGGTAATGTGCTGTTCACTGCTGAGTATGTTCAGCTGTGCTATAAGCTTGGAAAATGAGGTATTTCCTTCAAGGACATAAATAATATGATACAGTAATGTGTTGTAATAGTTCAGATTTTCTCCCAGGGGTAACTTTTGGGGGAAGAGGATGCAGAAGAGATGAACTCTAAAATAATCATAAAACATGGAAAAAGCATTTCTGATCGTGTTACATAATAAATCTGCTCTTGTTAGGCTCTTATCTTGATCCTTAGAGGTTGTGCCTCATGTTCGAATGTGTGCACACAGGGCTATTGATAAGTGCTCTTCATCAGTGCTGGGATCAAACCTGTGACCTTTCAGTTGCAGGGCAATCACTCTAATCACTTTCACAGATTATTTATGTCGCCCCTCTGCTCAGAAACCAGGATCTTAATGGTCTAGCTATTGGAGCCAAAAAAAAAAAAAAAAGAGAGATGATGATTGGGGTGATCCCTCTGTGATTGTCAGCGTTTTCGTGCTCTCGCTGAATTTAGACGTTTTCTCTCTTGGTGATTGAGTACAAATGTGAATGAATAATCAATCCGTTAATACACTTAAGTACCAACGTCTCTTATCCTTTACATACCTCTTCATCTATTTCTGTTACTTTTAGCCTAAACTGCTCTCTGTTGTTGCTTAGAAAATCTCTTGTTTTCTCTTTTTGAGTCTGGACTTGAAGTAGTTTAAGTAAGGTGTGATAAGGTGTTGCGCTTAAATCCCTAGTTTTTGTAAGGTGTTGTTGTTGCTTTTAAATCTGTTATTTTCTGTTTGGAGTCTGGACTTGAAGTACTGTATACGATATGTACGATATGTATCATGATACAGGGGTTACAATTCAATACAGTGTGATAGATTGTGGTACTGTAACTAGGCTATGTGTTAGGGATGGCTCGATACCACTTTTTCATGTCCAATACCGATGCCGCTATCTGGTACCAATCAGTCTTTTCCCTCTCATAATCAAGCTGTTAGTAATACATTTGTATGGATGCACTTTTCTCTACCTAGCCATCGAAAAAACATCAAACTCAAACTGTGAAACGATTTTTCTGCTCCAATGAAGGAAGAAATCCATAGCCCAAAGTTGAGTTAAGCCTTTATGTAATAGTTAAGACTAATGGATCGTATCAGATTATACTTTTTTTTCCCTCTATCCAGTGATTTTGGCTAGTAGCCAACCTATACTGAGTATCAGATCGGCACATCTCTGATATAAATTGACATTTTACAAACAACCAACCAAAATCTGCAGAAAAGTGTCTTTTTTAATGCAATGAGAAGAGTGGCACTGGCATGAAACACAGTCCCTGTTACATCCAGTATTAAAGTACAACTTTTTGTGCAATTGGAGCAAAGGAATTAACATTTGCCTACATTTAAAAGTGCTTGCAGGATTCTTTAGGTACAAATTAAAAAAAACTGTAAACAGACGGGGTTACTACAGTATATAATTTTGGATCCTGCTAGTTTAGTTTTAGTAGTAAATAAAATATCACCACTGCCACAAATCTATCTCTAACTGTTCAAAATCAGTACAGAGTTTTTCAATCATCAATATAGTATTACAAAAAAAGTAAAAGCAATATTTTTTTTACACCACTAGTCTAAAATCCCTTGTTTTTTCTCTGGAGTTTGGTCATGCAGTAAGGTGTTGTTGCTCTTAAATCTGTTGTTTTCTCTCTGGAGTCTGGACTGGCAGTTAGGTGTTACTGCTGCTCTTAAATCTGTTGTTTTCTCTGTGGACTTTGGTTTTGAAGTAAGGTGTTGTTGCTCTCAAGTTAGTTGGTTTTTTTTTGGACACAAACTCTATTTTCAAATTGAAGGATTCTAGCTAAATCCTTCAATAACTCCACTATACACCTTCAACAGGGTCAACAGCTTTACAATCCTAGATGCTCCAAGACATCCTAGACACATCTTTCAATTTTTTTACCTTGTAACAATACATGCACAATTTATATCTGATTTGCAGTTTATCCACAACCTGAAAACTTTTGTGATGAATTTTTCACAATGTTTGGCCGGGGTGAGTATTCAGAAGCGGCTGTAGAGTCACGAAAAAAAAACCAAACACAATAAAATTGGTACTGAGAGGATCATAGGGCTCAATGTTGAAAAAATACCTTAATGACATGCTTTAATTGTGGACGTATATGGTATGGGGTGCAGAGATGGGCACCCTAGCATCAAAGATTTATGTGTGTCGTGAATGATTGATGACAGTTCGGTCAGAATTGATTGATAGTGGAAAAACAAGACGAAATTCAGCCAAGGTTGAAAATGTACAGAAATCACCTATTGGGTCATGTCATTTCACATCATATTCTGGCAGATGGAAAGCTAGTACGCAAAACAGTGTACAGGTGTAGTTGTGACTCAAGAAGAAGTTATAGTAAGTATTAGAGCTGAAATGATTAATTGATGTGTCATTCAAAAGAAAATCAGCAACTATTTTGATTGTCAGTTAATTTTTCAAGCAGGCAGCTAGTTCCTGCTCTTCCATTGTGATGATTTGCTGCTTTTCTCTGTTATTATGTTGAATTTCTTCATTTTGTACAATAAATATGTTGAACACAATAATAATAAGCAAATTATTTGACAATGAAAATAATTGTTAGTTGCATTTATAATGCTTAAACTGCCCAAGTAAATAGAAAAAGTATCTACCTTTAGTGAAAGTGTTTGATCCTTATTCAGTAGCAGGTTTGAACTCTGCAGAGTTCAAACAAGATTGTGTGTTAACTGGAAAAATTGCTGCCCGAGGAGGAGATTTAGTTTGAATTGCATTAGCTTTTTAGAGTGCCTATTTAGCTACAGTATTTTTGTGTCAACTGCATTACATTTGTGCAATTGCTGAGGAAATGTTTTGCATACAAGTGGCTTCCCAGCGTTCCTTTGCTAATGCATTTGTCGATAAGCACACTGCAGTCATGTGAAAAAACAAAATGACAGGTTTCTGCACCAGCTTTAATTTAAGACCATTTTAATACCTGTTTCACAAAAGTTTATAATGATCCAATTTATTAAATTAACATGACCTGAATCAGGATATGCAGCATAAAAGAAATGGATGGGTTCATTAACCAATTAAAAATGATGAATTCATTTGAGTTAAGTTTTTGCATACTCGTGCATTATGAGATGATGAGCTTATTTGCTCCTGATGGTGCTGACTGAAACATCACATAAAGGGGACTGAACTGCCTCCTGCAGCAGAATCTCACTTCTAGTTTATAGATGTACAGTAGAACATCTCCCAACAGCTCGCAATCAGATAATAAAACATCCTATAACTAACATTACTGACTAAGCAGTGGTGTAGTGGCGCCTGGAGAAGTGGGTATACTCTTAATTTATGCCCCCTTTCTCTTTTTTTCTAAAGTGCAGCAAAGGATAAATGCCCTGTGTTATAAACAGTGACATGTAAGACTACTCTTGCATTTTCACCCAGAAATAGGCCAGTTGTATTTGCACATTGTTACCTAACTCCTGCTGCTGGACTTCAGGGAGCACTGGATCGTTATGATATTCACATTAGCCACAGAGTATTTTGCAATCAATAATCTCCCACAGACGGGTGAGGCTACTACATAATTATGCATTTTGAGTGAAGTATTCCTTACTCCAACTCAAACTGTGTCATGCCTTTGCCATCCTAGGTTAAAAAAAACAACCTTCAACTTGCAGAATGATGGGCATCAGAGGGGATTTAGAAGTAGGTAAACTCTGAAATTTAAGTCTTTTTAATAGTTTCCAAGTCCTTTAGGAGAACATTTTGTTAGTTAAAACTTAAATCAAGGTTGAAGACATTTCAAGAGCTGTAACAAGCAGACACACTGCTGTTTAAAAAAACAAACAAAAAACAAAATAGAACTGTCCAAAAAAATACTCAAGTACAGGAACAGAAATAAATGGAATTTGTTACTTCCAACACTTCCTTATCAATATCTCACCAGGAGTACACATTACTCTGTTCAGTCAGCCTGAATACTGCGATAGACAGAAATAGATCTACTCAGGTTGGAAGACCTCTTGTTTCACCTTCTGCCTACGAGATGGAATCCAGTTTGTTTGTTAACTCCCTAAAGAGACATTGTCTGCCCCGCTGCAATTACCCAGACAACATCTGAGCCACTGTACCGTGCAGTCAGGGACTGTTAGGAAGCTTGTAATCAAGCTCCATCAGGTCACTTACACTGGAATTAGATCTTCATGAGGTTACAGAGGAGACTTTTGTTTGTCCTTTTCCCTTTCAAGTGCAGCATGTGTGAAAGCAAAAGTTTCGTAATTTCCAAAGAAAGAAAGAAGATCCAGTTTTTCCAGTCAAATTTTTGAAGAGCGAGCGGGTCCTCTTCCATGGAGGCAACCATATTGAACTGCCATGTTTCTACATTAGCCCAGAATACTTAGTAGGCTTTTTTTTTTACACACATTCAATGTTTTCTTCTCCCTAACACTTCAGCCATTGTGTTGTTAGCTCTTTGGTTGTTCCCACAGCTTACTTTGCTAATGCAGAATGAGGCTGTTTAGGAGTTTATATCTTATGATCTAAACTTTAAACATAACAATTTTATTTAATTTTATTCACGGTAGTGAACAAAATGCTGAGATATAGGCCCGCTGTGTATATATTTTTAGGATTTCTAACGCCCCTTAATACCAAGAGGGCCTCGCAACCCCTCTTGAAGTTTTAGCGACCCCTAGTGGCGGTCCCAAACCCCAGGTTGGGAACCAGTGCAGTGGAGGACACATAGTCATACTTTAAATTCAATTATTATGAAAACAAGGATGGATTGCTCTGTCCTGAAATGAGAAATGAGTTTCTGATCATTTGCTTGAGTCAGTTTTCAAGCAAAAGTGCAGAACTTTCTAAAATTCCTACTACTCAAATACATTTTCTCTATTTTTATATCATTGTAAATAGATTATATTTGAGTTTTAGACTGTTGGTCCGGGAAATTAAGCAGAAGATGTCTCATGAGGCTTTAGGAAATTATAATGGGCATTTTTCACTAAGCTCTGGCATGATATTGACTAATCTATTTATAGATTATTCAGGAAAATAATCTGCAGGCTAATCTGTAATGAAAATAATTGTTAGTTGGAGCCTTAGCCACGTGAAATCATATTTGCTTTCATCCCATCACACTTTCTTTTTGCAGCGATACATTCCCTGTCTGAAGTTTTTGTCACGCACACATGGAAAAAGTCAATTAGAAACAGAGAGACCATCCTTCTCCAGCACAAATCTGTCTGGGAACTCAGGTTTTACTAATCCCCTACTTCCAAATTGTATATGTAAGTGATATTTAACATATCACATTACAGCAAAACGACATTACGTGGTTACTTGCAGTCAGTGCATGTTAAATGCACTTTTTGTGTGCTGGAAGTGTTTTTTTGCTTTACCAACGGTTAAAAGGGAGTTAAAAGAGGTAGAAAGTAACAATGAAAGAGAAAGAGGGTCCGATTGAGAAAGACAGAAAGAGAGAGTGAGACAAAATTAAAAGAGTGTGACGAGATGGGTGGAGAAAGAGTGCAAAAACAGGAGAGAATGAAAGATGATTATCTCCTATGCTGACTCAGGTCTTGGACATTGGGTCATTCATTTCACCATAAATCTATTCCCAAACCACTCTGGAGTTGGGTGAGGAAGAATCAGGCCTCGGGTGAAAACCCATTAAATTGCATGGTGGAGAATCAGAGTGGGCCATTTTTGAATCAAAGCCAACATGAGGGACTGATACGTTCCCCTGAATTCCCACCAGGCTCGGAGTATAGACTGTGCAATCGTTACAGGAAATGAATAGAAAATCGGTCGCTGTGTGGAGGAGTTGCCCTGTTGCTGAGGTAGCAGACCATTCATATTGAAAAAAAAAAAAAATCCACTAAACTGGGTTGGTGAGATGTATTTATCCATGACTATATAATGATTTAATGTAATTTCAACATAGATTTTGTTTTGTTGTCCTTGTAATAATCCTACAGGTTATTAATAGTGTGCCTTTGGTCATCAACAGTTGGTTTTAAACAGCGTCATTCAATGAGACATGCAGCAATCTGTCTGCTGATTATATGCAATTACACAATTGTGTTCTCAACATAGAAAATCATCGTTTTCACACAAGACAATAATTACACTATCACAAGAAGACAAAGCTTGTTATTTCACAAATGGAGGGTAACATAAAAAACCAAACAAATAAAGCTGCACCACTCATTTTTTTTTTAATATTAATAATGGATCAAAAGACAATATGAGTGTTTTTAGCTGCTTTTGGCTCGTTGTTTTCGTTTTCATGCCCACAACCCATGTTTCTAGAAGCTGTTTTCAGCACAACAAAGCTTCAGTAAACCCACTGTATGCACCAAACAGCAGAACAACCAAGTTATCTTTATTAACACATTAGCTTAATGAGATGATAATATGTCAGTTGTTGGATATACAGCTCCTTCTACTGCCACACAAGTTGCCAACAATGAATGAATGCATCTTTTAAATACGCACACCTCTGGCTTGTTGCTGATTTAGCCCACTGGTTCCCAACTTGTTTGGCTAATGACCCTTATAGCCAAGCAACTTGAGACCCCCTGCCCCTGTTTGTCATTAGCGGGGAAATTAGCTTTAGAGACAAAAACTGTATTTTTGTACCAGGCTGTAAACATATTTATTTCTGCTGTGAATTTTGGGCATTCTAATATGGGGTCTTATGGAGATTGACTCACTTCTGTAGTAAGGCTCAGGTGGCCGGTCGTGGAACTGCAGTTTTTGTCCTTTTATGTTGATGCTGTTTATTCTTTTTTTGTTTTTATATCTGACTTTTTCTTAAAATGTCTATCTGACTCTTGAAAAATTGTAAGTCGTCAGTACAAACAATGTAATCAGCAAGAATATTTAGATAGATATGCTGCAATCATATATACAAATGTTTTAATTGACTTGTATGTCTTATTTCTTCCTCAATATTTCTTTATAACTCAGTTTTAATAAGAATATAGCATTTACATTTAAAAAACCACAAGTGATGTAATATTTTATCATTTTTACACTGTATCTTAATGAAGTGTCAGTTTGACCCTTGTTAGATACAGCACATGGACTCCACAGGTCTGCCCTGAGTGCATCAGTAATGAACAGAGAGAGCTCTTACCTCCTCTTCATCCACCTGCATCCAAACACATACACACACAAGCACACACACACACTGCATGCATACTGATACCCAGTGTGCACAAACACACAAACACAAAATCACTTCCATTATCCTCAAGACTCTCACTCTCTGCTGTTGCTCTCAACACACTGTGCGCCCACGACCTCATCCCTGTCCGCAGCAAACACACCACCTTGTCAGCCAATCAGAAACCTTCATCATGTATGGAGGTCCTGTGATTGTCTGTAATTAAAGTTTCTGTCCCTGTAATAGTGCCACTGGATTAGCACTTTAGCCTGTATGTGCTGATTAGGTATGATATAAGACGAAGTCACTTCAACAACAATTTACTGCAACAAGACACATTCATCGATTAAGCAATTAATTTGTGGAAAAAGACTGTGTGTGGCTGTGCTGCCATCTGCCTCCCCTCCAATGCAAATCAGTGTTTCTGTGCATGTCTTGTTTCAATGTGAAGAGATTACAGCCACAACCCACTGAGGATATAGGGACGCAATTAGCTCACGACACAAACAGGCTCACGGTTCGATTCACTCGGGGTATTTTTACAAAGTTTGACTGAAAATGTAATAAGATTTGATTCAAAATAAACTGTGAACATAGAAAAATGAAATGTCAAATTTGCGCTTTTGTGCTTCACATTTCATTAGCACTACAACAGAAAATGAATTGGCAACTATATTTATAATCTTTTTGTAAGTAAATATTTAATGGATGCAGGTTCTTAAATGCGAGAATGTTCTGCTTTTATCTTACATTATAGTAAATTGATTCATTTTGGATTTCAGACTGTTGAACAGGCAAAACAAGACATTTTATTGCATCGCCTCAAGCTCTAGGAAATAGTGCTAGGCATTTTTTAATTGTTTTCTGATGTTTTACACACCAAAACCTTGACTAATGAATCATGAAAATAAAGTGGAGGTTAATCAATGATTAAAATAATGATAGTTACAGCCCTATTATTTACATAATTTTCTTTTTAAATAAAGTTTTGGTACAAAATAAATTAACTTAACAGTCAAATAAATAAAAAAAATGCCTGCAAAAAATGTTCTCACAAAGATAAAGAACAAACGTCACACTTCCCCAAATACAGTAGTTGGCCACAAAGACCGGTTTAAAATTGATGTGAATGCTGCTATTGAGTTTGTGTTTTTTTAAGCCAAAGGGATATTTAGAGGCACTGTTAATACAAACATGGACAAAAACATTCAGATTTGTTTAATGTGCTGCGAATTAAATCACTTCTGCATGGGTTGAAAATGTGTGCTTAGGACTCCTTCACTGTAGAAAAAGAGGAGTAGAAAGAAGAGGGTCTGGAAGGAAATACAATAAGTTCCTGTTTGCTGTCTGCTGTGTCACACCTAGCGCCCACCCCGCCAGTGCTCCCTTAAAGGACACTGATTGGTTCAGTTCCACTGTACGAGCCACAAGAGAAGATTTACTTGATATTGTAATCCATTTTTCATGTCACTGTATTTTGTTACACACCTACTGACCACTTCTTCTGTACGTCTTCTTCCTCAGGCATCGTCTCCCTGATTTCCCTCGCCGTTCTTTCCTATGAGCGTTACTGCACCATGATGGCGCCAACTATAGCCAACGGCAGAGAGTACCGCCCTGCGCTGGGAGGGATCTGCTTCTCCTGGCTCTACTCTGTGGCCTGGACTGTACCTCCGCTGCTGGGCTGGAGCCGATACGGGCCCGAGGGTCCTGGCACCACCTGCTCAGTGGACTGGAAGACCAAGACGGCAAACAACATCTCCTACATCATCTGCCTGTTCACCTTCTGCCTGGTCCTGCCGTTCTGCGTCATCCTATACTCCTACGGCAAGCTGCTGTACACCATCAGACAGGTGAGATTCTGCAAATGTAAATATTACATGAGAGAAAACACAACAGTGAGTTGAGAAGATGTCTATGAGCCAGAAACAGCAGAAGAAGAAAGATTTGAGATAAGAAACCAGATACGAAGTGTATTTACTAGTGCTTCATATGCACACCAGACATGTATTTCCTTATCTGTGACCTTAACTGATTTACTACTGTATCAAAAGCCTCCAGCTACCCTGAATGCTTAATCAGGATAAATCTGACAAGAGAGGAAAGAATATGAGTTCATACATTTCAAAGACTTAAGCCACGCACCAGCTGATCCCAACTATCTCCAATCAGATTTGACATCTCAGCAAAAGGAGTTTATTAAACCTGCCAACACCAATTTATTCTTTTGTCTTTGCTGCTTTACACTGTTGCTGACTGTTAAGCCAAACAGCCACTGTGAGATTTTTCTGAAGTGTCTGAAGCCATGTCCCATTTGCTGAACATAATTTACACCTTGGTGCAAGAACAGTGAGAACAAGAGAGGTTACGACATGATCCAATATCTGGATGACAGCTCGTATTTGGATATTATATATTGCTGCTTAACCTGTAAAATATCATGCTCCTGACCTTACGAAAGCTTCATTTTGGGAAGTCTTTTTAAAAACTTTAAAACACCAGGTATAAAGCTGTAATACCTTTAAAGATGCAGTGTATGAGTACACGTGCTTTCTTAGAAATAATGTATGATTTGATTCAGGTTTTATTTGCATCTTTCTGTTTCTCCCCTCACCTGACTCATAAATCGACCAGTTCAAACTGTTTCTTTGAAAAAACAAGAACAATAAAGAGACAGAGCCTAAAAGAAACATTTGGCAAGAAAAAAAGTTATTCTTTTAGAAGTTGGAGTGGAACTGCGCCCAGCCCTGCAAATATTTTCATGCCAACACCCTGAACCACTTCAACCTCTTTCTTATATGTTAAGCTTTTTGTTGACTTTACTAAGACTAACTTTACTTAGAGTTCATGCATTTGCAAAAACCCTGTAGCTGCTTCGATTCTTTGTTGGCTTCCACCAAGGACAGAGCCCTTTTTTTAACTCTATAATGGGAATGTAAAAATGTATCACGAGGCAGTTAAATCACAATAAAATACAAATATGTGAAGATTCAATTTACTATATAAGGTGAATTCCTTTGCTTATCTCATTATTACATACATTATGATATAGTTAATAACAATGGGTTTGGGGTTGCATTTAAGTGAAGACCTGGTAGGAGTAATTTAGAGAAAGGTTAAGAGTGGTTCCCTCTCGTTGGAGCTGAGAGTCAAGCGAGGAAGCTCTCGTTGGAGCTGAGAGTCAAGCGAGGAAGCTGAAAATAGATGTTAAGGAATGTGAGTAGAGAGGTTTTGTCTACAGGCTGGTGTTAATGACAGGATTACAGACGACCAGTGTTGGGCAAGTTACTTTAAAAAAGTAATTAGTTACAGTTACTAGTTACTTCTTCCAAAAAGTAACTAAATTAGTTAGTCAGTTACAAATTATAAAAGTAACTAGTTACTTTGGAAAGTAACTATTGCGTTACTTTCAAGTACATTTTTAAATGCTCAAATGTGACCCCACCTCCACCCTTCTTTAACGGAACTTAAAGTACATGTGCATGCCCAATTATTTATGATAAATCTGAATATTATAATGAAATGGACACTTAATACAATACATTATTAACAGAAACAATGTACACAAATCTAAACTATTTTAATGTTGCTGTTGTACAAAGTGAGACTAGCCTCCAATCAAATGCCATGTATGTAGATATTATGTTTATATAGTGGATCGATACAAATAACACAATAGATGTTTTGGAACTTTTGATATTTATTGCCTCTCAACAGGCCACAACTGGGCAAAATTAAATTATGCTTGTTAAGCACTATACCAAAAATAAATAACAAATATATACACTCTTTGTAGTGCAAATAAACTTCAGACAATTGGTAGATATACTGTACTTCAAGTATTTTTTTCCTCGAAAAAGTAGAACAGTGTAACGATATGAGGTGCTTTCAATCTAACTGAAAAGTACAATGTATAGCAAAACTAAGAAATCCAAATATAAACAGGTAGTACATAAGAAATAAAAAATACATCTCCATAAAAATAAATCTCTTTCTCTGGCCATTGACAATCTCACTTCAAGAGGCTGCAGCCAGCCAACAAATAAATCTAAATTAAAAATTACTAAATATGCTCTTTAAGCAATGTACCAAAAATGTGTAGAAAAATATATACACTCTTTTTAGTGCAAATGTAATAAGATGCAACACAACTCGCCATACCTGTCTCTCGTTGACTGACTCGCTTGTGTTGTTCGTTGTGTGTCCGACTATGCGTGCTTTCGAACACCCGCCCAACTCTACCTCTGATTGGCTTACCATGAAATTTTACTCAACCTCAGCCAATCGCCAGCATTTGTACGCTTGTCTCGTGCACTGCCCACTAACCGAGGAAGATCAGTAAAAAAAGTCTTTGCCTCTCTGCTCAGAGATCTAGTTGGTCTGATGAAAAAAACAGCTTCAATTATAGTAACGCGCCGCATTTTTTGGCAGTAACGGTAACAGCGTTATTAAGATGGGAAGAGTAATCAATTGGATTACTCGTTACTGAAAAAAGTAACGTCATTAGTAACAACGTTATTTATAATGCTGTTATTCCCATCACTGCAGATGATTGTCTTGATTACACTCTGCTGAGGTGCTTCATTAACCCTCAAGGCTGCAGACCTTCACACCCTCTGTCAGCTAATCACAGGGGACAAAAACTCTTCATTTAGCTTTGTGCGTCTGTGTGTCTGTGTGGTTTACCAGGGCTGCAGCTACCACCGAAGAGGATCCCTTCATATTGTGCCTCGCAGCGTGGGGGTTTTAATGACCGTATTATATTTTACAATTACACATAAATGATATGCAGTGGGTTTTGAAAATTGATTATGACATTTTTTAGACTATGCAGTAGAGATGTTAGAAAAGGTATGTAATTGATCAGTTGAGTGAACAGATAGATGTTCTGTGTGTGTGTGTGTTTGTGTATGTAAGACTGTATAGGTGGCAGATGTCTGAGGTGTCTTCTGCATGTGTGGCTGCTTGTTTTTGCCTTCATCTTTTATGTTAATCTATTTGACAGCCACATGCATACAGAGTGTATTTAAGAATTAGGCTTGTGCGTCATATGTATTCTCCTAACTTCGTGTAGGATGGTTAAATGTGTTTGTTCGCGGCCATGAACCACACTCTGTGTCGATGCTGTTTGCACAAGAATTTAATTTGCCACACCATTTGCTGGTTGCTGTGCCATGCATCTGTTGGTTCCTGCAAAGCCTGCAATCACATTGATCTTGTGTGTGTTGCTTTTTGGAGCAGGGTCTCTTAAAATCTGAATATACTGACTATATACCGACTGACTCCCTTGACTTTTTCTCTGGCGCCACATTGAGGTAAACATTTGTTTGAAATGTCTCAACAGCTATTGGGTGGATTGCCATGAAAGTTGGGACAAATATGTCTTCCTCAGGATGAATAATCACTTTGGTGATTCCCTGAATTTTCATCTAGCGCCACAATCGTCAAGATTTTATTTTCTCCAATACTTTGGTTCTGACCCAATGTCAGCAGAACTAATCACATTCCCATCAGATTCAACTGTATTTTGATAGATGAAGATAGCAAACTGTATACCTGCTTAATGGTCCAATGTGTAGGATTCAGTGGCATCAAGCCGTCAGAGCTGAATATCCGTCGCCCCATTCCCAGTGCATATGCCACGAAACTCAGGAAAACATTGGGTCTAAAGGGACTATTTAGAGCCAGTGTGTGGTTTGTCCTTACTGGCTTACTGTAGAAACATGGCGGTTCAACATGGCGGACCCACTCTTCTCGATAAAACATATGAATATCATATTCAATTTCTGCCAATAAATCCTAAATGTTACACACTGGAGCTTTAACATCAGCATTTTTGCATTGTCATTGTGAACATTTTAGCATGCCGAGCATTTCCCTCACAACACTGCAGTGTCTAAGCACTAATGGCTGCTTTAAGAAAGAGTACCGCCTCACAGAGACACTTAGTCTTGTTACAAACCCTTTCCAGTTCAATAGTGGATTATTTATTAAAGTTCAAGGGCAGATCGCTGATATAAATTCTCCTAATAAACTGTTATCTTGCACTTTTTTCAAATTCTTTTGAGATTACTGTGACTGTCGGATGGAGTCCAAAATATGAATCATGTTTAAATCACCTAAAGGATGTTTCTCATGAACAATTTTGCTTCCTGCACTTTAGGACAAAATTTGCTGTCAGGTTTAGTTAAAGTCCTTATGCACAAGATGATTTCCCACCAGGTATCATGCCAGACACCTTAAATTAATTTGGCCAATTTTCAGTCCCTGGGGATGGGATCTTCCTCTCCCATCGCAGCCTCAATTTGACCTTTAGACTCATAAGATCGGTGCATTTCTTCATTTGGGGCAGTTTGCAGATTGGCAGATGAATTCACAAGTCGTCATTAAACACTTAAGATAGAGGGAAGTGGAACAGAGAGGGAAAGTCAGTCTTCAGTTATTTAACCGCTGATGCGTTCTGAATTTATTAAACTGAGAAAGTGAGGAAAACAGAGCCAGATGTAGTGAGAAGTCTCTCAGCATCCTGCTTCCTGTCAGTGTCAGATTAAGATAGGTGGCAGGTATGTTGATGAATACTCGTAGGCGTAGTGAAGAGGAGATAGATAAATAAACACAGAAGGGCTGATTGAGAGAGGAGAGGATCGTGGCTGTGATTTTTTAGTTCAGATCAGATTAGGCTGACAGCGAGACACTTTTTCCCCCTCAGTATTTATACGTTTAACACTCTTTTTTTTACAAAATGATTCAAGTGTGTTTGTGTATTTGGTGAAAAAAAAAAGAGAATAATCTTTCTACTACTCAAAAAGTATTCTACCACATTTAAAGATTCTTTAAAAAGTGTTTTATTCAG